GGGGGTGCATAGGGGTTCACAGGGGTATCCCCCCCTCCATTACGCTACTGTTTATGGGTAACCCTGTATCTGCTTTCGTCCAATAAAGATGGAAATATAATAAGTCTGCCTTTTCATTCATTAGTTACTAAAGATCGCATTCTCACTTAACAAATGAGAAAATTAGAGTAAACCGATGAATGTTAATAAACTAAAATAACATCCTACTTCTAGTGCTATTTTTATATAAACGGTATCAACTTAAATAAAGATTACTTTTAAAGACGACATTTTGATACAGCCGTTGCAGATTTTACAGTAATTCACAGGCAGTAGAATTTTAAATTGTGTTTTATTTATCTGTTTTCTGAAATGATTTTTCTAATTATTAATCTTAGATTTTTGTTGTTTTGGCTATTTTTTGTAAAAAATGTAATTTATATATTTTTTATACTTTTTAAAACTTTTACATTTTACCCCCATTTTTTCTAGTTATGTGGATTATTTTTATGATATTATTGAAAAGTGTGAGATAATCACCGAACATATTCCACTGACAAATAAGGCAATTGACAAAATTTAATTTGATTTTAAAATCGTATGTTTAATATACAGTGGTCCGCGTTTATATAATAAAATAAAGACTACTTTTCTACTAAAGTTTTGATTTCTAACAAGGTTTTTTCAAATAATAAGCTTACAAGTAAACCAAGAGAAGCTTTTAATTGACAGCTTCTCTTGGTTTCCATATTTATGTGTGTTAAAAGCTTGGTATAAATACAAAATTGAAATCAAAATCAAAAGTCGTCTTCATTGTCTTGAAATATACGACGAGGACGGTATAAATTGATTATTTAAATACTTCTAAACAAGCACCGGTGTTTATAATGTGATAATGTTAATTTTGCATTTATAATGTTTTTGTATATCTTATAATTTAAATTCACAAAAATATATTTTCAAACGCATTATGAATTTCTTAAGCTGCAGTTCGATCAATGGGTTCCTTCGATAATAAATTTTAAATTTGATACTTCACAGTCTTCAGATTGTAATCTCTCAAGCTAAAATCAATAAGAATTTTGGCAAATATTTCATAAAAATTTAATGCTGAAAAAGTGTTCGATAGTTCTGAAATGTAAATGTCTAGGGCTACGAAAAAGTATAAGTCAGTTAGTTAATCAAAGATGAATGCTCTTCAACACTTGAAAGTCTAAAACCTATATTGATATCTCATTCTTGAAACCTCTTGATCTTCTTGGACATCATAAATTCTTTTCTTTCTCTTCCTTTTCCAAAAAAGGATACAAAAAAGAAAAACAAACATGTATAAAAAATTCTACCCAACTTATTTTGATATTCCTCTCTACCAAAATAACGAAGGGGAAGTAGTTTAAAGGATTTAAAATATTGGACTTTGCGCGCTAATTAGTAATTATTATTTAATTTTTATTATTATTGGATGGTGTCGTTCAGAAAAATTAACGAACAATAAATGAACGATTTCGAGAAATTAAAAAAAATATTTACAAATGTTAACGATTATTCTAAATCGTTCGTTCAAACAAAGTTTAAAAAACTATCGTTTGAACAAAGGATTAAATTGAACAATCTATCAGATAAAAAATAGTCGGAAAATAATAATATTTAAAACCAACAAATTAAAAAAAAAGAAAAGATGTTAACGTACGCTGAGTAAACAAATCGAATAAAAACACTAGGGTTTCCAACGTAATAGATTATTCTCTTACGCGTAATTACGTGCAGTTACGCGTAATAATTTTCATTTCGTGTAATTTCGCAGGATTACGCGTAATCGGAGAAATTTCCATTTCGCGAAATTACGGCGTAATTTCGCGTAATTTCTACAACGTAATTTCGCGAAATTTTGTAATAATTACGCGTAATTAGCAAAACTTCAATTTCGCGTAGTTTCTACACAGTAATTTTGCGAAATTTTTCCTTAATTACGTCTATGAAATTTTGATGTTTTAACTTTTAATTTAAATAAAACAACTAACTTACAAGGAAAATAATGTCACGCAAGTTGAATCAGAATTTCAGCCAATACATAATCTATAAAATTTTTATATTTTCAACGACTTGTTAATATTTCAACCTACTTTCTCAAGCTTACCTTCCTTGTTTGAAAAAATGTCGAAATAAAATCGTCAAAATATGTTTGATATGTGTAATGCTCCTGCGTAAGTGAAAGAAAGTGTTACGTTTCGTTACGCGTAATTACGCGTAACGAAATTACGACTGGAAACCCTAAAAAACACCCTTCGTAAATAAGTTTATCTACTTTTCTAGTCTTCTGTGTTTTTCAACGAAGTGCAATGCTGTTATTTTTAAGTTGGTTCTTACATTATCTAAATTAGACTTAGAATGTAGAAGTTTATATTATCGTATTTTGTTCAGTTTCTATTCTTATAATAGGAACTGGAATTGAAGTTACGTTAACAAACATAAGTTTTAGAATAATAAACAGTAATTTCATTAACAAGGATAAAAAAACAAATATTAGAATAATAGGCCTGTCTGTTATAATAAGTTATCGAAGCAATAGCGAACAGATCTAACAGCCAAGTTCTTCTTATGACATATTAAAAAAAAGCTTGTAGAAAAACTACATTATACATATATATTTCAACATCATAAATTGTAACCATATAATAAATTGTATCAAGGTTTCTAGATCAGTAAGAAATCAGGTTCAGTTTGGGTTTTACGCTCAGTATTGTCCACACGCAATCTTAATAGAATAAAAGATATATTTGGTTGTTTTAGGTGTGTTTTAAATCATCGAAATCTGAGCGAAATATTCATAATTTTGCTTTTTAATGTTTCTATCCACGCCACCATTTTTCTTCAGAATTTTCTCTTTTTCTTGAAGGATTAAAAAAAATATGGCTTAAAGGGAGTGTTCGCGCAAAATGAGAGGGGGTATTGGTTTACGGCGAAAAATTATCGATGGTGATTGCTTCTAATCTTACTTCTATCTGTTGCGTCTATAAGGAGAAAATTGTTTAAAACGACTCATACCAATTCAGAAAGTTTAAATATACTACTCGGATCGTAAAAAATCTATTTAATTCTAAACATATCATTCAGATATTACAACCAATAATCATCGATAATTTTTGACGCATTCGTATAAATTTAATATTTTAAAATATTTTTAAAATTTTTTTTTTATGGTCTGAGAGTCTTTTGAAAACATTTATTCCTGTTTCGAGGATTTTTGATAATGAAGACGACATTTTCATATTTTCCAGGAATGTTCGAAAATCCAGCGCCAGCCGTGAAAATAAACTGTAATTGTAAGCTAAATATTCTAAATCAAAAGTATTTTGATTTACAGAGAAAAACTGTTAACTTTCGGATTTACTCCTTAATTCGTCTATTGTTTATTAAGCAATCAACCAAATCGGTTGAAAGCTGAGCATTGTAATTTCAGATTTAATGCATACACAAAAGTTTACTCATCTTGAGAAAGATTTTGAAATTATACAATCAACTAGCTTGGAAACCCAGCGTTGCCCGGAGTAGTCACCGTTTACACGTGCTTTGTTGTACATTATGATTTGATCTACTTTTCCATTTTAAAGTTAACCTACTGAACTTAGAATCTTTAAACCAAGCCAAGAACATTCCTGTGGGCCAACCAAGTTTCCCAATCAAAATTTGAGGAAAACGGTCCAGAGGTTCCTGAGTTATGATCGGACAAACTAACAGACAGACAGACAGAGATTACAACTTTATATTTATAGATGAATGATATTTTAGCACTTGATAATTTACCTGAGTATAATCAAGAGAGAAGCCAGTATTAGAAGTAGTATCTAGAGTGGGAGTTGCAGCAGCAGAAGTAAACAGATGTAGGCTAAAGGGTCTCTGATTACCTAGAAGGAGTATTAACAATTATTATTATGTAAAGTAAAAACGACCGGAAACTTTTGAAATATAACAACCTGAAGATTAATTTAAGTTGTCTGCCTTAAACATATTTTTTTTAATGGCTTACTTAATGATTTGGCAAAGAAAAAAAAACAAGTTTACAGTTGCAGGGAATCATTAATATAAGGAAATAGAGAGTAGGAATTCTTAACAGTCCTCTATGAAGTCTCATCCTTTTAAGCACATTTTTAGAAGTATAGAAATTACAAAATATATAATTTGTCATATTTCTCTTTAAAACTACGAATATAGAGTGTGGAGGGGGGGGGGGACTGGACTAACCCCCACTAGCGTATTCTGGAATAACGATAGGGTTAAAAAGCTAATATAATCCACTTACTCTGGAATGGTGATGGAAATGATGATGTAGATATTCCGAAAATTCCACCGCAGAATTGAGTAGGGTAGGGAGGAATATTAGCTAAAACTGGAATAGGATTTATTCCATCAAGTGATGTCATTGGTATAGTTATAAAGTTACCGACTGTTGCGCCGTTGCATACACCTGCATACAAACATTATTAGTATAGCTGACAGATATGTACATTGTGCGCTACTTTCATCGGTCGGTATTCTACAGACCCAGCTAAGAAGAAAACCATGGTCATAGTGATCTGTAGCTGTAGTGATTAGTGATGGGAAATAACTTGGTTTGGTGTTCAAGAACTTTTCAGTTGTTTTAACTTTAAAAGGAGAATTTCTGTGAACTTATTGAGGTTCCAAACTTTCAACAAATCAACAATGTATCCTGTAAAATTTGCTGACGTTTATCCAGAGATAGAAACAGAAGTAAAAGACTAAAAAATAAACGATTTTTATAAAAATTGTTTTTGTTTAGTGTTTTGGACATAACTTCTTTTTTAGGGTTCAAATATGGCATTGAGATTGTTGAAGCAAATGTTTCGAATAAATAAATTTGAACTTTGCTGATATTTGTTGAACTTTTTAAAAAGTTCAACACCTTAAAAGTTTTTTTAATGTAACAAATTATTGCCTATCAATTTCCATAAGGCATGAGGTTTTAACCATTGGAAATCTAGGGCAGTTGGTTGGATGTTTCTACTTTAACCATTGGAAACCTAGGGCAGTTGGTTGGATATTTCTACTTTAATTTAAACAGTTCTTGTCACAGAGAAAACACTTTATTTTAAATGATATATTGTCAAATAGATAAATGCTGACGTGATGCTAATCACTGCAAACTAGACAGAAGGAAAAGATCAAAATTTATTAGGTCACATTATACATATTGGAAATTTTGATCACTTTTCTTACTTTCGCAATAGATCTTTGATAAGAGTAGATGAGATTGAAAACATAAAATATTATACTTTAGCTTGACGTTTAGCGAATATGTAGAATTATTACCTTGTGTAGACTCTGCAAGTCCTGATGAGATAGCTTGTGTGACTATAGCTGTGCTGAAGATTGCAAAAGCATCAATAGTAGTTCCACTTGATGTCTTCCATTCAATTCCACAGTAACCCGCTTCAGTTCTGAAAATTTATCAAAATTAAAAAAGATCTATTTTGTTTATAAATCTTTTTTTCCCCCAAATACCTAATACAGTTTTGGTAATCCATTCCAGCAAGAAGTTGTGCACCGGCCCAACCATAACTCTGAACTGTTCCTTGTGTTCCGGTAAAATACTGGACACAATCTTGGGGAGCCCTAAAAAACCAAAAATGAAAAACTAATATTGAGAACCATTTTAAAAAAGAAAATTATTTAAGAAATGTTAAACTATAATTTTTATGAATGTAATGTGCAACAAATTCAAACAAATGCCTTGCTAAATCAATCAATTTATTGACCAAATAAAATAAAAAAAACTTACATACCCAATTTTTGGAAATTTGGATTTTTTATTTATTGCGATTCAATGAAAGAATACTTTCGCTTTAAGAATAATAACGGTTGCCAGTCGTAACCTTGCTTTCTATAAGCAATTGTTTTGTAAACACATTTAACAAAAAAATTAAAATAAGGATTTTTTCCAAGGTTAAAGGAAATCATCAATATCAACTAGTAACTGTTTTTCCAAAAAGCTTAGCTCATGTGCCAATATTAAAAATAAACCTTAAGAAGGGAATTACATGTTTTCTTAAAACTCAATCATTAAGTAATGGATTTAATAAATGTGTCTTTATTGTAAATCTTAAGATATGCATACCTTTGAGGAGATGAGCATTCAATCTGTTGTACAAAAATGTTATATTGTTTAGCAGAAGCAATACTCCCCCAAGTCATAGTTACAGTCGCAGTATCTCCTGTATCTGCTCCCAGATTCACATACACTACAAATAGATATATATGATGTAAAACATAATAGCAAAGTGACTGATAATGTGGTATGTTGGATTTACAACAGTTTACGTTAAACCCTTGACTGAATAAGAATGATAAAGTTATCGTCTTGCTGAAAATTGATTATTTTCTTTTGTGGTTCCCCTAGCTTCAAAAGTGACTTCACAGGTTTAGAAGATACCGTAGTGACTTATGAATTCAGGGTCAAGCCAAGATTTTTGGCTTCTGAGGTTTCAATTTCAATTTTTTTTAATGTATTGTATAGGCCTTGATATTATTGTAGAAATATGTATAATATATGTTTTGGTATTTATCAAAAATACAAAGGATATAAAAAGTTAAACTGTGGAACGAAATCAAAATGTAAAATCAATACTAATACCATTTTTGATAAAAAATAAAAATTTTCCATGGACTTTTCTATTTAAAAAAAACCTCTCTAGCACCCTTAAATTAGTGGTATAATTTGTTTTTATGAGCTAGCCTTGAAAAGTTGGTATAAGGACGTGTATCATACTCCCCTATAGTAACTTTTCATAAGGAGTGGAAAACACAACATTCCTATTAAGTAAAAGTAACATACTGTGATATCCAGTGTTGGTTCCAGAAATTGATGGGGGATTACGCCCGGTTTGTCCAGTAATAGCCATTGAATCAGTTTTAACACCGGCTGTTGTTACGGAAAATCCGCTAAATGTCTGGAAATCCAAGCGCAGCTGACAAACATCAGTGCTAGCCTAAGAAAAAGAATAACAAATGTAAATATAAAACAAAATAAAATAAGCAAGTTAAGCATATTTTGCCAACAATTTTTATCTCCACGCGTTTTACAAGTCAGTATGTGTTGTTGGAAAATGCGCAATTCGTTCATGTAAACATGCAACAACTTCCATAATTACTAAGACTAAGTTCTAACCAATCTTCCTCCCCGGCAGGGGCGGATACAGGATTTAAGTGAGGGGGGGGGGCAATATTTTTTAGGTACAAAAAAATTCATAATTAGGAACAAAAAATCTTAAAAGACTCAAAAAGAGTCAAAATTAATGACTTAAGACTATAAAGCTAGATCTTTAACTTTTCACACATTATAGTTTATTAAGACAAATATTTTTCCTGTTTTGCACTAGAGTTTCTTTCCTTTAAGCATGCTATTGAGAAGCTATTCTGAAAATAGGAACAAAAATTCCAAATTCAGGGGGGGGCGAATGTCCCCAGCCCCCCCCCTTGTATCCACCCCTGTAGTCCCTGGAACTACTGGATCTATTGTGAAGAGATGTTGTGCAGACAATAAAGTGCACAACATATACAATAACCAGAAAATGTACACCTTGAAATAAACAGGTATAGACAACTGTAAATACCATCCTTGCTATCATGGACAGGGAGGTCTGCGTCAACTATACTATCCTTGCTATCATGGACAGGGAGGTCTGCGTCAACTATACCATCCTTGCTACCATGGACAGGGAGGTCTGCGTCAACTATACCATCCTTGTTACCATGGACAGGGAGGTCTGCGTCAACTATACCATCCTTGCTACCATGGACAGGGAGGACTGCGTCAACTATACCATCCTTGTTACCATGGACAGGGAGATCTGCGTCAACTATACCATCCTTGCTATCATGGACAGGGAGGTCTGCGTCAACTATATGGAACGGTTAGGAACTGAAGATCTAACGGCGTTGACGGAGTGCTGGTCTTCCGGAGTGCTGGAAACGGAGTAAACTTGAGAGGATGAGACTCTGCTTTGGTAAACTTCATCTGCTTTAAGGGTGAAAGAGATGGGATCGGAGAAATCGTCCCTGAGCAAATGGGCGTGGATATCGGCGTTGACGGACTGCTGGTCTTCTCCCTTAAGAAAGAAGGAGTAAACTTGAGAAGAGGAGACTCTTCTTTGGTATAATTCATCCGCTTTCAGGGCGAAAGAGATGGGATCGGAGAAATCGTCCCTGAGCAAATGGGCGTGGATATCGGCGGGCAATCTCTTGAGGAAAGCTCCCTTAAGAAAGAAACAAGGTTCGTGACCAGCTGGAAGCAAGGCAAGCATGTTTGACATCAACTTCGAGGGCTTCATATCCCCAGATAACGGAAGGTTAAAAATCGCCTCATACCCCTGGAAGTCATCAAGTGCAAATAACTTCAGCTACCGATTCTTCAGGGCTTCGTAGGGACCAGCGGCAGGAGGAGACTTGATAAGATCGAGAACCTGGTTGGCGGTCTCCTGGTTGAAAGAAGAAACACAGTAATAAAACTTCGTACAACTGGCCGTTACTCCCTTGAACGCGAACTGGGCCTCGACTTGAATGAACCAGGCCTCCGCAGACTCCAGCCAAAAGGCTGGAACTTTAACTGACACAGTATTCAACAGGTCCAACGAGCTGGGTTCAGCTAGGATTTGATCATTATCACCGTCCTTAGGCATTTCACTGACGAGCGTGTAGCTATAAAGTATATAAACAGTCTATCGGCCTATAGTATTCGAGCTCGGGGTCACCAATTTAGCTACGCTCGTTTTAACAACGCCTGGTTTACTATAGAGTACTTTATTTAACTGAAAAACTAAATTTCAAACTTTAAAATATTGACATAAATATATATCGAGATGACGTGGCAGAATTTTCTAGATCCTCTTGCCGCGTCTCCGTATCCGGCTCAGACTCAGATCGTCTTCCGCCACAAAAGTGCATTTTTATGGCAATTTTTTCGGGTCGAAAATAAATTTTCTCTCGAAATTCCGCAATGTTTTCGCTTCCTTTTGCAAAAATTTTTTTTTGTGCGAAAGTTGTAATTTAATAACGCGCTATTAGATTTAAAAAAAGATCTTAAGTCGTCATCGGGATCTTTAAAATAGACTAAATTTATATAAATACTTTGCTTTCATGTCTTTCTGTTTTTTTGTTTGTATCCAATAAACGTTAAAAGGGCTGAGCCAAGTGTGACCAAACATTTTGAAAGGGAAAGTTTATGGATGCTAGGAAATACAAAAATTTGTCTCCAAAATATTTATATTTTCGTCAATAAAAAACCATATAAAAAATTATTCCTCTAAATTTTTAATGTTTCATATTGTTCGAAAAGAAAATGCTCTCAGATACAGAATTTGTGCGCAAAGCTCAAAAAATGCCTTGTAACTAATTATATTTTATGTACCTTGTTTATGGTATACAAACAAGTTCCAGTCGCTGTCGGGGTGTAGGTAGAGGGATATCTATAAAAAGAAAATTAAATGATTTCCGAAAGTTCTGAAGTAATATTTGGCTTACCCGGGGTTTTGAATATAGGTGTTGTTGTAGTTGACGGTTGACCCGCAAGTGGAGACGGCCAAATAGCCTGAGATCGATAAAACAATGCTACATTAATCTCCATGAAGGGAATATAGACAAATTTATAGTATTATGTCTGATTGATAACAATGCTCATTTCAATTTGACCTTTGTCTAATAGAGAAGAAATGAGATTTTTTTTATGACGAAAAATTTCGCATGTTCAATTGTTGTTTTTGAAGTTGTTAAACTTGCTGCTGAATAGCCTAATTTGTTGACCCTTCCCTTCCATGTTCAAGTAAACACAACTGTGTAAAATTATTTTTTAATGGAAAACGTCTAAACCCCTTACTTAAGGATTTCCGTTGTATAAAAAAATGAAGAAAAAAGTCAAAATTAAGCGTTTTTAAAGATACCTTTCTAATTCGGTTTCTCTTGTAGAATTTTAGAATTTCTATAGAAATCAATAAAACAATGATGTACAACGACGAAAAAAGGAAAAATCTACATTGGTATTTGGTGTACAAATTTCAAATCAGGAAAGTTTCCGAATCATTGAGTTCGTGCAATAATATTTTATAAATTTCGGAATGGGTTAAATAAATGCAGTTTCAGTTTCTATCTGTTTACAGTACAGAAACTCTAAAATTGGGTCCAGGCCACTATAAGCTAAAATGGCTGTCAAAGCCCAGCCAATTAGAGTTCGACATTCAATTTTACATGTACGGACTCGGAGGTTATAAGTTAATTATAGGGTACACATACAAATCAAACAAACTGCTCATATATAATTTTCGAGTCACTTAAGAATAAGAATAAGATAAAAAGGTCTTTTTAGTACTTACAGCAGACTCCGAATCCAGCTGCACATGTGCCTGCAGCTGATCCACTTCGTGATGTACATTCAGAGGTTGAGATACATGTACCGTACAGTGTAGAGCCAGAGTTGGAAGTTACACATCTCTGATGAAAATTATTTTATAAGAAGAAACCAAATCTGTCAACTATGATTTTATGTTTTTTTTAAAATATTTATTTTCTTAAAACATAGATTCGTTCTCGTAAAATTGATTTTACAGAAAATTTTTGGTTCTCAAAGTTGTTAAAAGTTTATTGCTTCAAAAAAATCCGGTTGAAGCAATTAAGATTTCGAAAGTTCTTTGAAAATCGACCTCCGTCCTCCCTTATTGACCTCAGTCCTCCCTTATTATAAAGTGAAACTTCACAAAATTTGTATAGCCTACTTTATAGGATAGACCTAACATTAAAATTTTTTTTTTTAAATTTTTTTTTTTTCATAAAGAAGTTAATTTTTAGCCTTTTAGGCTATTGGTGTCCAATTTTATATATTGGAGTTCATTGACTTGACAATCATTTACTTTTCAATGCATTAGCCCTCATCCCAATATCACTGGTTTGCAGCGAAACTAAAACTGAATACATGCCTCAAACCTCTAACTTTCTAACTTTTTGATAATATATCTATTATCTAAACCTTTATTACATCAAACTTGGTCATTTTGATCTAACAGAATTAATTGTGCCGCGATAGTATTCAAAGTTAAAACTTACCAGGTTAGGGAAGTTAACGATAGCGAACAGAGACAATGTTTCTAAAAGAAAATGTGTTAATTCAGATTTTTTTGTTTTAAAAATTTCAGCTTAAAGGGCGTGTTTGCGAAAAATGAAATTGGGTCTCGGCTGAATCTAATTCAAATTCAGTTTTGATCGCCACTAACTTTAATTTACCCTGTTGCGTCTATAAGTAAAAAATAAAAAAATGTAAATAATCCGAATTTGATTAGGATTCATCCTAAACCTTGTAATTTTTGAGAGCAATCCCTTTAAATAAAAAATTGTTAACAATTTAATGAAATTCTATTTAAATTGTGAACATGCTCTTTTTGTTTACATTTTAACCCTATTCCTGCTATCCCTGTAGTTTTTTTTACATAACTCAAAAAGTATTGGTCTGAGGCTGTTGAAATTTTCTGACTTTTCTTACATACCCAAAGCCCTCCCTTTAGGCCTAAAACCGGGCTTTAATACTAACTGCCTGAGTCCTCAGGCACACTGCCTGAATGAATGCTTTTGCCTGTAACAAAATAAATATTTGTTTTGACCCACTTTCACTTGTCAGATTTTGATAAAATTTAGCTTTTTGGAAAGCCTATACCATAAGGAAACGGATTGCACAAGTTTTGCGAAAAAAAATTGCAAATTTGTCAAAGGAAATTTGCACATTTTTAGTTTTAAAATTTTGCACAAATTTTTGCATATTTGAAATGACATGGTCAAGGTCTTTTTAAAAATGTATAATTTTTCATTTTTTGGACAAATTTTATTTGCAAACATTTTTACTATATAACTGGATTTTGCGATAAAAAATTCAATTTTTGCAAATTTGCAATTTTTTTTGCAGATTCTAAAAGTAGAGCACAAGAGCTTTCTAATGATGTATCATTTGTCATATTTAAACATAAAACATGGGATTTAGAGGGAGGGGGTCAAATTGACCCCCCCCCCCTGCATATCCTGGTTTTCAAGTATCCCAGCAGGGATAGGGTTAAAACAAAGAAGAAAAAAATTTAGCGGATTTTTAAAAAACATTCGCGGATTTTCAAGAAATTAAATTTTTTTACAAAATTAAAAACCTTTAAAACACATTTTTAGAATTTTTTATCATTCATAAACCTTCCCTGTGGTCACGTGATGTCTCACAAAAAATTTGGGCCTGATCGGTTCAGCCGTTTTGACGTTTATCGGATACAAACAGACAGACAGACAAGCCAAATTTATTTTTAGATAAAGATTTTCGCTCATATATATTTATGTCAGCTATAGCTGGCCAATTGCTGGACCGAATGGGCTGACATTCTTTTACACTTGAGTACTTCTGGGGTACGTAGCCAAAAAAAATTCGAATTTTTTTTCTTCTCAAAAATCGAGTTTTTTTTTTCAAAAATCGAGTTTTTTTTTCAAAAATCGAAATCTTTTTTCAAAAAATTTTTCTATAAAATTCGATTTTGAAAAAATTTCACGGGCAACGCCGGGCACTTCAGCTAGTATCACATAATACAAATTAACTTTAATAATAATAAAATGAATTTTATTAAGGCCATTATTATTGGGTTTACACCAGCCGTACAGAATAGGATAAATATAAAAAGGTATGTCTTACAAATCGCTTTATTAAAAAGGCATATATGAAAACAAATATATTACTAACGGTTGCTAGAAACGTATAAATGCCTGGGCAGAATGTAAAAAGTAAAAAAAATGGGCTATTTTTTTCAAAAGACATCTTTCATCAATTTTAAAATTTTAAATGCTTACTTTTATCTCTGGTTTCCAAATGTGTTGTGTTAGGGCTTAGAGGACTGGATTGTCCCTCACCAATAACCAGAGCAACAAATAATATTAATTTATGCATATTCAACCTAGAACAAGACAACATTCTTTTATGAGGCCAGATATATAAAGAAACAATATGAATTTATGCATATTCAACCTAGAACAGGACACAATTCATAGACCTCTTGGCGCTAAATATGTAAAAAACAATATGAATTTATGCATATTCAACCTAGAACAGGACACAATTCATAGACTCAAATATATAAACAAACAATATGAATTTATGCATATTCAACCTAGAACAGGACACAATTCATAGACTCTTGGCGCTAAATATGTAAAAAACAATATGAATTTATGCATATTCAACCTAGAATAGGACACAATTCATAGACCTCTTGGCGCTAAATATGTAAAAAACAATATGAATTTCTGCATATTCAACCTAGAATAGGACACAATTCATAGACTCAAATATATAAACAAACAATATGAATTTCTGCTTTGATTAGAAAATTAGTGTTTGTGACAAAGACTTTATAATAGGATTAATATATCTTTTAAAGTTTTAAGATAAAACATACAACACGGATACAAGTATTTTATGGAAATAAAAACTGCAATACAAAACCTCCAATTATCATATGCTAAAATATTATTTTTTAAATCGGATTTTTTTTTCATATTCAATAAAGTTGTTGAAAAGTTTAAAAGCAAATTTTGTGTATTTTTAAAGTTCCTTTTTATTCTTTTGCCCGGCCCCGTTTTTTAAGGTTATTTTGTACCTTCCTTCTCAGTTAAACACTGATAAGAAAATGAGAAGTGAAACAAAGCGAACTGAATTATAAACGCAAAATCAGGTAAAAAAAAACACGTGTAAACGCGCGCAAGCACTCATGGGTAAAGAGCGTAAAATTCTAAACTGTAAATCATAGAATTAGAATTCATTGCCCCCATTTTGGAAAAATTTTGTTAAAAATAACAAAAACCCGATAATGATTGATAATACAAATAATAACAATCCCAAATATTTACCTTCTCTGGTTTTTTTCCTTCATGAACATGAACATGAACATAAACATGAACATGAACATGAACATGAACATGAACATGAACGCCCAAATGGCTGATTTAAACCTTTGATGATTTAACATAAGATTTTTTTATCAAATAGAATTCATCATTTGAAATTTCTAAGGTCTACACAATTTGGTTGCAAGGATATAGGGATTAGAACATCAGAGTTTGTGGCAAAGACTGAATTCCTTTCCCGGCAGAAATTGAAAAAATGCATAGAACAAATTTTGAAAGTTAAAATTTTGAAAAAATCATCAATACATACAAAGATGTCCGCTGAAGTATATTATTGTAGGTGGAAACTATATTAACGATAACACATTTAAAAGTTAGTTTCTGAAAATGGGGCGAGAAGCCTTTGGTGAAACGATGTTAAAAATTGAGCAATATAAATGTACCCTATGATTTCGCCCTTAGAGTTGAGATAGAGGAGTGTGATACACGACCCTAGTCCATAACCCGACAGAAATTATACTTTTGAAGAAAATTTGGGGAATTCCCCATATTCACAGGCATTTGGGAAATTTTCCAGATTCCAAGGCATTTGGGAAATTTTCCAGATTCCCAGGCATTTGGGAAATTTCCCAGAATCCCAAGCACTTGGTGAATTTCCGAAATTACCCAGATTGCTATAAAAATTTGAAGGTGGTATATTTTTATGATTTTAGAAATTTTTTAAATGACTGGATATTTGTGAATTTCCCAAACCTCTTGGAATTTGAGAAATTTCCCAAATAACTAGACATTTGAGAAATTTCCTAAACTTGAAAAATAAACAACCCTCAGATTCTCTAACAATTTTAGGGAATTACCCATATCCCAGTCATTTGCTGGATTTCCCAAAATTTCCTAAATTCCTATAGAAACTTGAGGGTTGATATATTTTTAAGATTTCCCAAATGACTGGATATTTGGAGATTTCCCCAAACCTCTGGATATTTGGGAAATTTCTCAAATAGCTAGACATTTGAGAAATTTCCTACAATCGAAAAATAAACAACCCTCATGGATTCTTTCAGGTATTTGGAGAATTCTCCAGATTCCTGAAAGAATCTGAGGGTGTTTTATTTTTCAATTATAGGAAATTTCTCCAATGCCTAGCTTTTTGGGAAATTTCCCAAATATCCAGAGAATCTTACAAATTCCCAGGCATTCGGGGAATTCCCCAGATTCCCAGGTATTTAGGGAATTTCCCAGATTCCCAGGCATTTGGGAATTTTCCAATTTTGACAATTTTTTAATTGCTGTCACTCCCTCCAACTAGTCCAAGATTTTAAGGTCAGCTCATTAAAAAGATTAAACTCTAACTTTAAGTGCTAGAGTGCGAGAGAATTTTCCTGACAAATTCCAAAAGTATCTCGTAAAAATGTTAAAAAATATATATTTTCCCTATTGTCCAATATTAACATGTGACCCATGCGAACATACTTTTTTCAAGAGCCTAAAAATATTGATAAATAATAGTTTTTTTTTGAGCGCTGTAAGCCTGTAATGAATCCATTTTTAAGTTACAATGCTTTTAAGGCGCTTCGCGCCCATCTTCTATTTTAATTGTGAACATTTTATTATTCTATTGTAAAACAAAGAAATTCTTACAATCATTCGATTGTCCCAGTTAATGTACAGAATATATTATTTCAGTTAAAAACTGCAACTTTTGATTTTTAAAGGGAGTGACCGGCTATGTAAGGTAGTTGAACTGAGTATGCAGTGTTGTGGAAAGCTTCTTTCGGATTGGTTTTAGAGATTTGTAAAGATTTGTAAACACTGAATAATTTTCCCCCTGATTTGTTGTTATATCAATTTCATTTATCAAAAGAGTTTTATACATTAAAAAACATTTGACGAAGGCTGAAAAAAATTCTATATTGCTACCATCGTCCACCACGGTCCACCACGGTCCACTTTAGCTTTAGCGTAAACTTTGCTGCTAAGGAAGTAAGTCTTTGTTACAAACTCTGATTTTTTATTCTTTATATATTTGCAGCTTAATGTGGTAAACATTTCAAACTATGATTTCTGTTTAATCAAATTATTTCAGTATGAAATATCATAGATGTACACCATCAGGTTGCAAAGATATAGGGTTCATCCTGATTAGATTAGATGTTACCGGACCTTAAAAGATTGGCTTTAATTTTCAAAGTGAAGTAGTGGGAATTTTACTAATATATACGTTCCAAATTACATATACACTTGTAATTATCATTAAAATTACATTATCTATTTATATATAGTTGTAATCTCTGGTTGTCTGGATATGTCCGATCATAACTCAGGAACCCCTGGACCGATGTGCTTCAAATTTTGATTAGGGAACTCAGGAGAGCTTGAATTCTACTCGAATATTCTGAACGAAAAATCGGCTTTTTCTCCGGCCACAGTTGTCTTTGAAAAGTAAGACTAATACCAATCAACATGCAGCGAATAGGCTGTTTAGTATACCCTGAAAGTACCCAAATAAGTGAACGGTCCCTTAAAATTGAAACTAAAAACTCGCTCTCCTGATATGTTTGGAACCTGAATGTGTTCACCTTTGATTTTTTAAACTTAGAATATTTAAAATGAAAAATATATATTTTAAAGAAAGAGACACAACTAGATAAAAAATTATTGGTTTTTGGTTCCTTTTGCAAACACTGAGATTTGATGTTCGATCTACGTTTTACAAGAATTAAATAAGTTTTCAAAATTTTAAAGTTTGAATCGAAAAGAAACCGTCCCTTTAGAAAATGTTTCATTAATTATTTATTGGCTTAACGGTGAAACTTTTTTAATGCCACGGCTTGGTTTTTGTTTTAACATTCAGGTTGTTCCGGTTCCGTAATCAAAGCAGGAAAACCATTTTTTTAATATCTATATATAATAATGTTGTAAACTCTATTTGTCTGTTTGTTCATACGTTCAGAACTCAGGAACCTCTGGAAAGATTTCCATCAAATTTTGATTTGGGATCTGGGAAGTCTTTAGCTGAACCGAATAGAACAAAATCATATAAATTAGAACGGGTTTTGACCCTATCTCTGCTGGAGTACTTGAAATCCAGGATATTCGGGGGGTGGGTAAAATTTGACCCCTCCCCCTCTAAATCCCATGTTTGATGTCCAAATATGACAAATGATACATCATTGAAAAGCTCTTGTGCTCTACTTTTAGAATCTGCAAAAAAAATTGCAAATTTGAAAATTTTGAATTTTTTATCGCAAAATCCAGTTATATAGTAAAAATGTTTGCAAAAAAAAATTTGTCCAAAAAATGAAAAATTATATAGTTTTGAAAAGCCCTTGACCATGCCGTTTCAAATATGCAAAATTTTTACAAAATTTTGCATATTTGAAATTTTTAATCAAGAAAAACTAAAAATGTGCAAATTTCCTATGACAGGTTGTTTGCAAAAAATTTGCAATTTTGCAGTCATTCAGGCAGTGTGCCTGAGGACTCAGGCAGTTAGTATTAAAGCCCGGTTTTAGGCCTAATGGGGGGGCTTTGGGTATGTAGGAAAAGTCAGAAAATTTCAACAGCCTCAGACCAATAATTTTTGAGTTATGTAAAAAAAAACTACAGGGGGGGGTCAAATTGACCCCCCCCCAGCAGGAATAGGGTTAAGCAAAAATTTAAAAAGCTTTCCGTCCGCAAAGTTTCCTAAATTTGTCAACCATTAACTATAAGACCCCCCGTCCATCCATGTAATGTCGTCTTTAAATTGAGATCCCTTCTCGGAGACACCAAACCAAATCATTTTAGCCCCACTTTCTTTGTTCTCCGGTAACGGAGTCTAAACACTTTTATTATTGTGAACAGAATATTTTCATATAAAGAATTAGTGACTTTCTTTAATAATTAATTGTCATTCTTTTCAGAAGTTTCAATATATAAAAAAACGTCTGAGGACTCCCCGACGGTTTTAACCTACATATCATTTAATAGATCGCAAGAATCTTTTCATTATAAAATTATAAAACCTTCTAATAATTTAAATGTTATTATCCATTTCATTTTTTAGGAAATAAAGAGTTTCTCTGCATTAT